GATATTTCAGTCAATTTTTTTTATTTATAGTCAGTTTTAATTCATTTAACCGTTCAATAAATTTACATATCCAAAAAAATGGGAATTTTTTTCAGAAAGAGGAATTCCTTCTTGTTTTCTTCAATTTTTACTGTTCCAACCATTATCAAGATATAAAGTTTCAGTTAAAAAATCATTTGAAGCACTTTAAAATTTAAAACATCATTTTCCATAAAAATGGATATATAGAGAAGATGCATCATAATTTACAATACGCAGGATGAACAAAAACTTTGGAATTTTCAAATTTTTCCAAAAGCTTAATAAATATTTAAAGTAGAACCCTTTTTTAACCTTTTTAACTAAAATTTTGGAATTTTATTGATCTAATTCTGATAGAAATGTGTTCCACTTTAGATAAGGCGTGTTCGAGCGGCATTGCTCATTCATCCGTGATTCAAGCGTGTGTGCATTATATTTATCAGGCATTGTTGTCCGCAATGAATCAAAGCGGGTGGCGTTGCGATAAGAAGTTGCGGTCTCTCGTCGTCTGCAACAAAGCGGCCGCCCACGCGCGATTTGCATGAAACGAGGCGCGCACCTGCGCCAAACCTCAGCCGGCGCCATCCCTCGGGTGCGGCCACTTCCTTCCTTCCTTCCGAACGCCTAATGATAATTATTAATGCCAATTATTTCCACACCAGGTCACACTGCTCTCGTGCATTAACACAATTTGGCCGCCGCTATCTGTGCTCGCAATAATTATCAGCTGCGCCGCCAAATTTGGACTCGATTTGGTTGCCAAAGGGAACAAAAGCACATCATTATATCGCTCGAGACGCGATTCAAGCAGAAATGAGCTCCACTGAAGTTACTCCTTAATAGATAAAGGGACATTTTGAATTTGGAAATAAAGAAAAAAATTATTTCAAAATAAACCTCTTTGAATTGGCTGAATTATATTATTTTATTATTTTTCTAAGTAATGGAAAAATATGAAAGTGGAGTCGATATAATCAAACCTTTAATTCACTTCGATTAAATTTTTGTCCTATTTAAATGATTTAAATTGAGATTATTGAAATTTTACTTCTTGCAAATCATTTTGTTCTTTCACGTGGAAAGTTCATTTAACAGTTCAGTGGATTCGTGATCTCGTTAACTTGAATCAATTTATTATTATGCAACTAATCCAGCTTAGAATATCTTGTCTCGGTTCATTTATATCCTAACGATGAGTGTTCGTTCGGTCATGCATCGCTAGACTTTGATAGCTTTTCTCCCTCTATCTCGTTATAGTTTATAATCCTATAAATTTTGCGCTGTGAATATGTATTTATTCTATCAAATATAATTGCCATAATTGCGCAATTAAATAGTTGAGCAGATTAGAGAAGTTATTGCATTGGGGGTGGTGATTGGCATGGAATCATACTGAATGGAAGGTCCAACAACTTAAATGGAGAGGAATTAATTGCCGTGTTTGGCCTAATTGGCCGATATGAAAACTAAACAACACTCCAAACTTTCGTTGAATGCTCTGTTTTTTTATTTTTGAAAACTTTGATAAAGGAAAAAATTGCAGATATTTTTTGCAAATAATCAGGCGAAATAAAAATTTAACAATTATTCAAGGAAAAATCTTAAGTTTTCCCATAATAAGCTGATTATTATCTATTTATTAAGCATCCAATCATTCAGAATTGATAGAAGATATTATAGTTTTTTGTATCGCAAAATTTTTAAATTGAATTGTTAGTAATATTATAATAATCGACTTAAAGTAGTAAAAAATGATATCAAAAATTAAAAATAATTTTCCTCAAAAATTATAATTAGTCAAAATATTTGTGAATTAAAATATTTAACGCGCAGCTCTGCCTTTGTCACAATATTTGGCAAATATACCATTTTAACGCTCGGGAATGAAATAATTTGATTCAGAACAAGGGGATTTTCGATTTGGAAATGAATCTGTCTGTGAATGCAAACAAGATGGAATTAATTCTAGAGATGGAAAAAGCCATTTCGTCGCCGCGGCACACAAAAGGAGACGAAAGTTGAAAGCTTTGGGTTGAAAAACGAGCGCGCGCAAAACACACACCAAAAGCCGTCCGCGCGCGCGTTTCCACCCGACGTGCGACGGCCTTTCTGATTTTGCAGCGCACAATGGAAAGGCGAGATGCTAATCTGAATAAAGAAAGGAAGCCGTGTGCGGTGCTTTAGAGTCTCGTCATTTGTAGGAAGAGGAGAACTCACGGGCAAGACGTTTGCCTGTCTCCGGCGCGGGGCGAGCAAATTTATTCGCAGATATAAATCTGGCAATGATATGCAACGCCACTTTGGTGTTTCGCTGAACACGCGTAAGAAGTGTGTTATTCAAAGCTTGATTTCATCTGGCAATTAAATGTAAATAGCTTGACTGCTGGAATCTCTCTTTAATTTGAAACGCCGGATTTGTACAAGAAAAGCTTTCCGCTGAGAATGCAAAATTCGCACTTTGCTATTCAAAAGAGACGCGGGCGGCGGAATAAATGCGCGAATACATTTTCTCTCTCTCGCCGGTTGTTGGAGAAAATGAAGCCGTTTGAATTAAAAGTGGTGCGGAATGCAATATTGTGCAACGCAAGGAGTCGCAGCAACGCGCCGGAGCCTCTTTCGCGCGCTGTTGACCTAATTATTTCGCAGCAGAGGCGAAAGACAATCTCCGGCAATGTTCCTTTTAACGCTTGACTTGCTTTCACCGATGGAATTTCATTTGTTTGTCTTTCGCTCTCTGCTTTTGAATTTCTACAGTGGAAAAATCAAATCTTTTAATATAAATCAGGGGCTCCTCACTACTTCTGATTTCCCGAGATTTCCAATCAAGTTTCAAACTTCTTGCAAAACTCAATTTCCGCCACTTATCAACAAATAATCTTGTTATTCTTCTGCGCAACTTTATTCTCTTCTAAAAATAAGCCGATTGCGAGACATCTTGATGGAGAATTCTGAAATTTTTTTATGAAACGTATGGAAAAAAATAAATTAAGAAAAGAATAAAAATAAAGTTGTGGTTGTCAAGAAAATTTAGTTTTGTGGGAAAAGCTTTCCTCGAAAAAGTCAAACTTTTTTGCCCTACAAGGCTCACACACGTGTAGTCATACGATCGGACAATGAAAAAGGATACAGCGGCGCGCGGTGTTGTCCAATTTCAGTGCGTTCGCCACTCTCGCAACTCGATCCCGAGCAGCGCGCTGATGAAAAATTGGCGGCGACGCAAAAAGCTCCGGGCACGATGTCGAAAAAATATCAAATGGCAGGTCGGGGCGGTGGGATTTGCAATTGTCCCTGGAACCCGAGACTTCTTCTTTTTTTTCAGCACCGCCTCTCCAACTTTCTTTCGCAAGTTATTCTAGACGAGGGCGAGTTGCGCACCTACTTTGCGGATCTTTATGAACCGGCCGACGAGCTCATGCACGTGTTTCGCCGCTTTGCAGACGCGCAGGTAGACGGAATTCGCAATTATAGAAGCGCGTGCAACGTGAAATAAAAATGCGTGGTAAAGTACGTTCCCAGCTTGTTATCAAACACAAAGTGTTTCATTTTTTGTGTTTATTTATTTATTAAACTTAACGAAAAGTAAGATAGATGGCACTGGAATGAATCCTTCTTGCAATAATTCATTAAAATTGAGGGTAACAAATTCAGTGAATCGATAAATTGGCTCTCCAAGTGAAAAAGACTCCTGCAAATTACAATAATTTATACAGAAATTGCGTATCAAATAATTTCTTTCCGTAGAGAAGATACAAATATAAGGTCTTTGGCAAGACGGCGATTTAAATTTGGTAAACAAGACGGAAACGGCTGAAATTCGGAGAAAATTCTGTGCTCATTAAAATCCACGCTGGAGCAGAAAGGCGAATGCAATTTTTCACGCTCCAGCGATTCACCTCGTCAGCGAAATTCGATTCATCAGCGCAGCGCATTCGTAGGGCTTCAAAGACGAACTCGTGAAACCGACGAGGTTGGCGCCGCCGTAATTAGCGCGCTAATTAATTAAACCCCTTCCGAGATAAGGCGCGAGGCCCATTCATTTTATTATCTCTCGGGCCGAGTTAGAGACAAAAATATATCCTTCTCACGGTTTTTATGAATGCAGAAATGTGGGCTTTTGCGGCCGGCAATTATTTCGAATTGGGCTTGCGGCGGCTGGAAATTGTGTTGCCAGCCTAATTGAAACGAGAGCTCTGACGTCGGTGCAGCACAATTTCTTCCTTCCTTCCGCCTCCTGCCGAAACACTCGCCAATTTAATGAGCTCCGCCGAGAGCGAGCTTTTCACCAACTGCCGCGCGCTTTATTACGCCACTTGGCAGAGAAATTTCATGCCTGACGAACGTTTAAATAATTATTGAGTTGCAAAATAATCCTTGATTGCAGTAAAAATTTCGATTCGATAATAAATACGAGAAATTGTTTTTCTTTTAAGCTAAATTATTTACACCTTTTATATACAAATTTATTTCAAGTCCATCAATATTTTAATTTAACTTCAACGTTAATTATAATGTAATTTAATCAAGTCAGCGAAAAATTGGTCAAATCTAGGTAAAATGAGCCAGAAACAAATTTAAAAGATTTTTCAAGAAAAAAACCAAAATATTTTGATAAATCCTAATTAATATGTAAATATTGCAGATCACAATAATTTTTTGCCCGTTGATGATATAAAAAAATAAAAATTAAATTAAATCTCACTGAATTTAAAAGTACGATTCACATAATATCAAGAAAAGAATAGAAAATTATTTCTTCTCTGTTTCGTCAACTTTCTGGGCAAACTCGGACTTCTCTTTTGACTTTCAGTTTTAGAAATTTCTAAAGATTTATATTCTCATTTGTAAGAATAAACAGTATTTAATTAAATTTACGGTTTCTCTCGATTCTATTTTGTATTTGGTAATCGACAATATTTCCTTTGATGTACAAAAAAAACTCACCATTCTGCAGATAAAGTTACGAGAGTTGTTGTACTTACCAAACGAAGGTGTGGCAATGTTGTCTGAAACAGAGCAAAAGCAAATTAATTATTGATCAACGCACCATTCTCATCACGTTAATTGAAATTAAACACAAACATGCGACGAATTAAACTATAGTGAATGATTTTAGAGAGAGAACAATTTCGTGTTAATTTTTAACAGAGTGAAAAGGGCAAACGCTGCGGAATGAATTGAATTAATCAGTTGGTATGCAAATGCATGTTTTGCAAACAAGGCAGGCGCACTCGCGTGGCTAATTAATTCATTCGGGATGCGCTGACTTGGCACACCGGTTGGTCCTGCAACTGCTGATGCGCGCGGTGACCGATTCAATTGTGACTGTAATTGATGCAACTGTTACGATTCTGGTTTGCTCTTTCAATCGTAATCACCGCGTTATTTGCAAATAACTACAAAATAATTTGTGTACAATCAAAGAGCAAGCATTAATGTGATTAAATGCAACCCACTCGGCACCATAGAACAGAGCGGGTTGCATAATTCAATAGCGTTAAAAAAAGGTTGTTGAGCAAAAGAGATGGAAAATTGCAGTGAGGAAAAAACAATGGAAATTTATTGCGTAGATACGAGTGGAAAAACATAGGGACGAAGGCGCAGTTTGTTACCTTCTCTGCGACGTCTATTAAATTTCTTTGCAAAAAATGCACTCAAAATAATTTATTTACTGCGCAAAGAAAAGAAAATATCGCTTCGTTTGTTTGTTGACACTAATGGCAAGAAAAAATCTTGAAATAAAATTTGCTCTAAGACATTTTTCATTTTGAAATTATTTGATTTTCTATTGACTAAGGCGATATGAACTTGTCATGATGGAATTTTTATCAATTATTTTTAAATACGCAAATAATTCAAAATTATTAATTTATCCCCATCCATTAAAAGATTCTCTCTTATTTGCTTTGGATTGATGTAAAAATAATAATTTAAATCAAAAATTAATCAGGCTGATTTTAAGCAGAATTTAATAATTTATGAATCCAATTAATTGAAATTTGCAAGCACGCTGAGGAGGATGAGATAAAAAGAAACTTATTTCCTAGAAACGCGTGTCGTCGTTTTGTCTCCGGATGAGCTCGACTGATGGAAATTCGGCTCTCCCGACAAACTGGGCAGGAACAGACGGAAATCGTGACGCGAATCAAGCCCAACGAGAGCGCCCAAGGCAAGAAATCATAGGAGCGGAAAGGGTCTCGGCACCTGAAATTTATCAGGGCTTCAGCTGCGACTATCCGGGCTTGCTGATCAATATGTGTGCAAATAACACTGGAAACTCGCGTGTGTGTGTTTCCGCCGAGAAGGAGCCAACTTGCGCCTCTAATTGTTTGTTTGCCTCGCACGAAACGCACTCGCGGTTTGCTAACACATGGCGCAGCTCTCAAGAATAATTTATGGCCGCAAGAGTAGGCAAAGCTCGTCTCAATATTCATATCTCAGGAGAGATTTGATGGGGAAATTCGGTTCGTGTTTGCCAAGCTCTCTGCCGTCCCGAGGGAATACAAGAGTTTCAACGAGTTTTCTATTCAAGACGGGAATCGGATGATCAAATACATAAAGAGATTTTTTTAATTCGAATATGTTTGTTCAATTATGGTAATTTTAAGTGATAACTTTTGCAATCAACCATAATATTTTCCTGTTATAAAGGAAGTAAATTTTTCCTATTTATACTGAATTTTTAAAATATAAATTAGGAAAAAAAAGGTTACTGTTTTTCAATAAATTATTTTGGATGTAATTATTTGACTTTTTAATGGAGTTTTCAGATTTGAAAATAATTTATGTTTTACCAGATTAAATAAAATCATGCGTTCTATAAACATTATCCAGTTATTTAAACTACTATTTTCATAGATAATAACATTTAATAACAAAGTTTGATCAGAAAAACAAACTTGATAGCAAACGAAGCTAACTTATCATAAAAAGTGATATTATTTTATTCCCTGTAACTTGGAAGAGCATTCATTAGCGCATGTGTCTTACATTAATATTGAATCGTGGCAGCAAAACTGCTGCTCCTTTTTCATTTCTAATAATATTATCGTTGCAATTGCCATTCTGATGCAAAAAGAGGCTATAAATCAGGCCGGTAATAACACTCGGGCATGCATTCGCAGCCAGAGAGGTGTTTGCGGCGATAACGAATAAAATTTTATCTGCGAGGCCTTCTTTCTTCTCGCTTTCTTTTTTCAAGGGGGCTTCGCTCCTGAGTGGATCTAGAAGGCGCCATAATTCAAAGGACCAAATGCGTTGGCGAGATTGCAAGGGCAATTAGGAATCCTGTAAAGCAGTTTCGGGCCGTTTAAGATCGTAAATGCGGCTGAAGGGAAAATCTCGACTCCTTCCAAGGTAAAGCTAATAAAAAGTCAATCTTCCTCAAAATTTACATTTTTTTTTTAAATTTAAAATATAAAAAATAAAAAATAAAAACAAATAGTTTACAGATCTTCTAAAATATTGCAATTTAACACCTTTCCAGCATGTTATTCAATCCAAACATTTTTTCCTTCTTGAAATTTTTAAATAAAAAAACTATAATTTTGCAGCAGGAAAATTAAATCAAAGATATAAAATTTTCCTGCTGATTTAATGTTGTTAACAGATTGATGGGCATCAGGGATAATAATTGAATTAATTGAATGCTGAGGGGGCGTTCGACGTTTGTTGAGTTGCTCTCGCAACCACCACATCTGGAATTGGACGTCGATGGAACCAGCAATGATCAAGTGAATGTTTATACGTTGCTTTCGAGTTAGCATGAAAGCAAATAACCTCGAAATAATTTTGAGGAAAGGAAAATCAGAGAGCGACTTGATGGAGACGACTTGTGATATTCGAAATGAACAAAGCCGCTCAAAGGGGATCATTGTACATTCCAGGAGTGGTGGTCGCTCCGCAAAAAGCCCCTTTTCTGCGACACGGCTTAATGGTAGTTTCCAGGCTGCAGGTCAATTGTGAGCTCGGGGAAAATATACGGCCGGGAAAGGCCAAAGTTTGATGAAAGCCGCCGTTTCCGTGTATAATAGAGAGAGAGAGAGGCGGTGTGCATTGTCAAGCATTTTCAAACCCCAATGCTGTGCCCTCGGCCAATTTGCATGTCGAAACGCGTGCGTTACTCAAGGCTTATCCAGCTTCCTTCTCTATTCGCAAATTATGCGCTAACATCCTCAAGCCATTTCAGTGTTCAGCTTTTGTGCCTCAAGATATAGCGTGGGAACCATTTTTGAATTTAAAAAAACTGTGTTACAAAAAAAATTTCTTTTAAACCTAAATATCAATTTGAAATCTGTTTTTATTTTGCTATTTTAGCTTTCAATAGGGCTTAAAGAGTGAAACGCACTAGATCTGCACTTCACACACCAATTGGAAACTGTCAATAATTGCAATAAATTAATTATTTGCAAATATTTAGCGTTTGAAAATAATCCTTAAACAGGATTATTTTAACGAAACAAATCAGCAATTCAATTTGAACTGAAATTTATTTTGCCATTTTTTTAGCTTTCGAAAAGACTCAAATTTGCACTACCAAATTGCACTTGTACAAAATTAATAAAAAGTTCTCTAATGGAGATTCGTATTTAACGCATTTTCGGCAGTACGAAAATTGATTAATTTGTAAATCATTAAATAATTGCGGTGCTCATAATTTATGACCAAGAATAATTATTTAAAAATAGGATTGTAGTTTCCTTGGCAAAAGTGTTTCTAGAAAATTTATTTGCAGCACAATCTACTTGAAGAGAACCCTAGGAATCCTGTTCATAACAATCTTGATGATGATAACTAGCAAATACTTAGGTACGAAGGCATTCCTTCCCACTCACTCATCCCACACCAAAGTGTCTCGAAATACATTAGCTTATTTTAGAACGAATCAATGAGCAAACTCGCTTCAGAATTTGAGATTGCGTGCTCAATATCAAAGTTTGCAGTTCTCTGAGAGGATAATTGGAGTCGCCGCGAGGAAGAAGCTACACCTGCTAATGACACCAAAATAGCCCTGGGAATTTCGGTGCAGCTGCCAGAAGAATTTTTTTTGCCAATTTCCATTTCACATTAGCAGGAACGACTCCAACAAATGACTATGGCCGCGCCCATTATTGAGAAAGTAATTTTCGCGCGTGTGTTCGGGTGTGGGCGACGCACAGAGGGAGGTTTACATTTCCCACCCTCGGCACAAACATTTCATTTTCCAACGCAATCAGTGGAAAATTTCAATTGAGAAGCAGTCCTTCAATTTTCTTCCAGTTCAGCAGCGCCCGTTTTGAATTTCATATTTCCCAATCTCCTCTCGACGATCATTATTTTTTGACAGACCAATTTCCACCGAATCAAAACGTGGCCAGACACAGACGCGTCTGCTTGTGAAGGTAAAAGTAAAAAATATAAACGCACTTTCCGCTTTTGGATTTACAAATTTCCATTGGCGAAGCACGTCTGTCAAAAACAAAACCGTACATCTCTTTTGACATTGGCCCAAAATTAACTACTCAAAGGTTCACGATTTAACAGACCGTCACTTTTTTTCTTTCAAATTACGGCTCTTGAAAAAAAAGGGCCGTAATCTTCCTCTTTTATTCCGCTCGCTCTGTTCGCAACAAAGAGAGGTGGCAATAATTACTGAAGGGACTCGCTTTAATTCGATCCAAGAGACCGAAAAAAAACGCCCACCAAGTACGTAATTAAACCGAGTGGAAAAGCTTTTGCTGGCGAGAAGGAAAGAAAGACGAGAAGGCGCGAGGCCTCATTAGAGCCGTTAGTCATTTTGTTTTTTATTATCTTTTCCGTGATGAAGCAAGTTTAATTTGTGAGAGGGAAAGATTTAAAAACTTTACGTTAGGGGCAAACAATTAAATTTTGTTTTCAAGGAGAAGAAGAGAGAGAAATTTTGAAATTTAACAGGAAAACTTGTGTCAATTTAAAAATATTATTTATTATTTTCATAAATTTGTTTGAAGAAGTTGACACTCCAGGAGATGATTACGGAAAATCCCGA